CTTTAGCAAAGGTTCCAAGGTGGTCTTAGTGCTAGCATTCGCAATAAACTCGCTAACTTGACTTTCTCAAATATCTTTGACAGAGGAATACTAAAATTGGAGAATCTCCTTTGTTGCATACTGGCAGCTCTCAAATCTAGGGTAGCTTTTGTGGTATTCTTGCTTGCATTCAGGATCTTCTGAGAAGGACTAGACCCTTGAAAATCAGATTTATTGAAGCTCCCAGAACGGTTTTCATATTTCTTATCTTCCCTTATCTTATCCTCTATGGGAGCCCCAACTTCATAAACTTATGAAAACTCGATTAGAGGCATGTAATGCAACTTCTCTCGGAAAGTTGGCAGGGTTCCCTTTATGAAGATTTTGATCTGCTCCTTAGTGTAAGGTCAATTTCTCATTTGTGTGACCTTGGCTCTCCATCTAGCCATGTAATCAGTGAAAAAGCCGTCACCTTTCTGTACTGTAGCTTCTAGATCTCTCAGATGGACACTCATTTTGAGATTGTAAGCATATTCCTTTAGGAAGACTATAGTGATCTCATTCTAGTCCTTCCTTACTCTTTTCTCCAGATTGTAGTATCAAGTCTGAGCTGACCTAGTTAGAGACATAGGAAACATCTTCAAAATCTCTTTTGATGGTAGACCCACCAGCTCCATTACCGCTTTCATTACATGTACCTTGGGATCGTCCATGCCATCATACTTTGACACTTTAGGCATTTTTTAGGTCAAACGAATGGTGTTCTTCAGTTCAAGCTCTTTGTCATCATCATCGTCAATATCCACGTAATGATCCATCCATTTTGATTTCATGAAGATGTGTAGCTTTTCCAACTTCTTGTCTAGCTTTTCAAACTTTTCTAAAATGATCGATTCGGATTCAGCCTTCTTAATGGGTATTTTCTTGGCAAAGAATTCATCATCATGACATATGTCATCCACTTGCTCTTTTCTCTCATATTCACCCTTGGCTTCATCGTCTTCTACTACCAAATGGTCTTTACGCTTATCTGCTTGATTCGAAGGGTTCTCAATCTTAATGCGGGAGCCCGAAGAATTAGCAGACACTGTATCAAGAAGGTCCGAAGGGATTGAAGGTTCTTCAACTCTAACCAAGTGATTGTCCGCTCTCAACCAATTGATCTCTTGAGGAGCTTTCTCTCTTCATGGTGCTATCTTGATTGTACAGACAAATGTTAGAAAGCACGACATGATGCATGTATGAGTAAATGCATGGATATGGTATGAAATACAAAAATTCTATCACACAATCACGGCATCGTGAAATGCAACTAATGATATATTTCATCATGGCTTTATCACGACTATTCGAGAACAAAATCAGAAAAGGGCTTTTGAGAACTGACAAGATCAAAACATGCCCTATTTTATAGCCAAATATCTATAATGATCTTCTGCTTGTTATTTTTGTATCCCTTTCTTTTTGCCTCAAGCGTGAAGATACTTGAGTAAGGCTTTTTATTTAAGAATTTTTTTTTTCTTTTCTTTTGCTTTTTCTTTTAGCATTAACAATATTTGGCTAAAAATAGACTAACTTTGATTACTTTTCCAAAAGTTAACTTTTTACATTGATATTTCTTTTGGCACCGAAAAGTGCGTAGTGCGTCGGGCTCGGTTTCATCGCGAAACACCCAATGACCCAAAAAAGTAAAAATGGTTAAAAACATGAATTATCTCAGTCACAGACCATTGGTTTGAAAACTAGGACGATCGAAAGTCTCAAACCAAAGTTATGTAAAAAAACGCTTTATCATCATTAAACCATTAGGGACAAAATTTGAGCGTCTACACCAGGTTAACTAATGGTTTCAATAAAAAAATATTTATTTACTCAAAGTATTTTTTTTCACGAAAACACACATATCATGTGGTGGTTTTGGTTCATAAATATTTCAAGTTAAATAATAAAGACATAAGCTTTCTTACACAGTTACAAATTACTAAGAGTAATAATAACGACATAAGTTTCCCTTACACAATTACAAATTACTAAGAGTAATAAAGTGCTTTGAGTTGAACTTGTATTATGTTGAAAATATCTTAATAACTAATACATGAAAAATTAATTTTATTAATATTTACCCACATGTCCTTTTGTACCACATCTTAGAGGCCTCCTATTATGACATGAGTTTCAATGTACTGCATCTTCTCTGATGCCTTGATATTCTTCTTTATGCTCAATATTTATATTGACACTCATGCGAGGAATTTGAACCATATTTACAGATGGTTCTTGTGGGCTAGGAAATATTAGATGGGTCTATTGATCAGTTGTCATCATCATCTCAAAAAAATCATTAAATGAGTGTCTAGCATGAGATGTATATCCATCATGTGTGCCGAAAGACGCCATAGAAGTATTAAAAGTAGCTACTGTATATTGAAATGGCGTTGCCTCGTCTATTTTGGAGAAAGAAGTAAGGGTTTGTTGAGTTGCCATCATCGAAGTGTAACGAGTGTTCGATCAGATTTCTAATGCTGCAGATGACACACTCCACCCAGGTCATGATGCAGAAGATGATGTGTCAGGCATATTAGTGCGATAACCTTCATAATAGTTATGTGGGGAAGGACTTGAGGTATATCGTTTACTTGTAAGGCTTCAATTGGAGTACGTCTAGATGTCATTTTACGTCTCCTTTACCTCTGTAGTTCTCTTGGTGTTTGAACACGAGGAAACTTTATAGATGGAGGGGCAAGTTGGAGCATAGGATTAGTTTCAGTACGAATTTCTTCATTCATTGCAATGAATAGACTAAACAATCTTTAACGAAATGATAAAATTCTACGTGTTGGTGAGGCTGAACTGTGATATATATTTCATAGCTCATCTGTTTGTATTAAAAAATATTATAGAATAAGATCAAAATTATTATTCAATCAGACTAAGAAATTATAAGATAAGATAAAAAAATATCGACTAATTACCACAACTCCAACTTCTACATCTCGAAATGAAATCCAACGTCTAGTTCGTTGCACATATCATTATATATATTCTGAATGATGGTCTAAAGGTGCTTGGAGTGGAGGAAATAAAATATTACGAGATAGACAGTTGTTCCATGCTTGAATTCATGGTTGATTTTTCTGCTCCCAATCATTATCAATATATCTAGAAAATAACTTGAAACATTTAGTTAAACTAAAAAATCTAAAATAAAAGAAATTATTTACCTTTACCAACACGAGTGTTTCAACTATTCTAATGTTTATTCCTTCTTTTTATGAAATGTGTTTCAACTATTATGTGCTTGACCGAGTATCATCGTGTTTGGTAATTGACAATACAAGTGCAATTGAGTGTTGTATTGGTAGTGTGAAGTATCTCATCTTTAATAAGAAGAGGTGAATAGAGTGAGTGATGAGTGAAGTATTTAGGATAGGTAGCTATAAGGGAATCAATTCCCTGCACCATTTCAATCCATCATGCAAGTCTTATATTTTCATGGCTTGTCCAAATAAAGTCTGTGTAACTAGCACCAATACATTGACTAGCAATGTTAATGTAAATGGATTGCACCAAAATGATACGTGGGTTTTAGTGAAAAAATATTTTTAGTAAATAATTTTTTTTTATTGAATCCATTAGTTAATTTGGTGGACTCTGAACAATACAATATTCTTGCGTGTACTTTTTATTGATTAGTGGTTCCATTCTATAGTTTCACTAAAACAACCAAATGGATTATGTGATTTAGTTGACAACTTAAAATTTTTATTTTGTATTAAAAACACCAGTTAAATTGCTCAATACAAAATAAAAATTATTACCTTGTCAGTATGGTTACTTTTTCTATTGCACTAAAATCACCAATTGAGTTAATAATTTAGTGCAACACTCTCTCTCATAACAGGACAAACATTATATTGGTAAATAGTTTTGATTTGTCATTAGATTGGAAAATAGTTTTTTGAAGAGCATAATTTTTGCAGAAAACTCCTATTACAGTTTCAGTTAATTCATTTAATTGTATTAATTGATATCTTATATTTTATTTTTTATAGCAATTGTCTGCGGATAGCATAGATATTGATAATTTTATTTTGTTTTACTAAAAGTTTATTTATCGAAAATAGTTACATTTTATTTTTTATATTAGAAGTTTATTTATTTATTTTTAAATAGGTAAGCTAGAGATTTAATAGAAGTTATTTATTGATTATTTATATAACTTCTATGTAGTTATTGTTTCCCATGATGTGACGAGATTAATTTTATAATTGCATTCGTATTATATCATCAGAAATCCAAGAGATTTTTAGAATTGTGAGATAAACTGAAAGGGAAAAAAAGGATGATAACAAATGAGTTAATTTTAAAAATTAAGATTTGAACTTATAATTATCATTTAGTTTTGATTTTTGAAAAAACATATGTTTAATGTCAATTTTTAAAATAAATTTATTTTCACCTTGGGTGTATCAATTGAATTATATTTGACGAATAAAACTATATTTTTGGAAAAAATATTTGATTTTAAAAAATTTAAACCAGTTCATCAAATTTCAAGTCGCATTTGGACTTGCTAAAATATTTAATTGAAATGAAAAAAAGAAAAAATGAATACGTAAATTAATAGTTTCTATTGTAAATGGGAGTAGGTAGCAGGCCCAATGCAATTTTTAAACTTGTAATCTTTCCAAACATGACATGGATAAGTTATTACTCCCAAAATATACAGCCATAAGCATCCAAGAACCAATTTTAAAAATTATTTTAATCCCACCTCCTGATTTATTACTGTACTTACTAAGTTGCTATAGTTCTTTAGGCCAATTTCTGGGTTAGCCACTAGAGTTTTGCCTTAGCATTATGACCCTTCAGCAACATCATTTAGCCAGATTAAGCTACTGATGATAGAGAGCTGGAGGAAAACATGCATGTGCCTACAAATAACTTATAGTTGAAAACCCAATCTAACCACCTAAATTAGAAAATGCCATTAAATTTCAATAAACATAGCAAGAGCCAAATGAAATGCAAACAAAATATAAGTAGAATTCTAACAAAATCATGCAATACAAAAAGATAGCGTATCAAAAATAAGGCATTCGATATCCCAACTACGAACACAAATCCTAAACATAAAAAACAAAAACTCATTGATACCACAACAGACAATTTGTCCAGAAGAAGATAAAAACAAGACATGGAGTTCTAGAAAACAAGGCTCCTTAAGCACCCTTGTCTGCTTTGGCAGCTGTTGCTGCAGCTTGTCCTCTGAGACGACCAGTCCTCCTTGCAGCAATGAGACCAACCTTTTGGCCAGGAGGAGCATCGCGGCGAACAGTACTAGCATGTCCAATGTGTTGGTGGTTACCTCCACCATGGGGATGCTCTACAGGATTCATAGCAACACCACGAACCTTAGGCCAGCAGTTCCTCTTGACTCTGTATTTGTGATATGCATTTCCTGCCTTTAACATGGGTTTCTCAGTCCTTCCACCGCCTGCAACTTGACCAACCATTGCACGGCAACCACTGGGCACAATCTTCTTAGCACCAGAAGGAAGCTTGATTCTAAACAAACAATAAGAAAACAGCAAAATCATAATCAAATTCTAATTCTGATGGTAAAACACATTTAGAGTTTGTTTGGTACAAAAGAATTCCGCAAACTCAATGAAATTCATTTACAAATACACATTTCCATGTTTGGAATCTATGAAAATTCATTTTGAATGCAACTTCTACAATTCCTTGGAATTGGTTATATGCTCGAAGCAAATTTTATCAATATTAATACAGCTTGCAAATGAATTACAACCTTCACAAGGACACAAGACACATATGATTTGTAAGTAGAAGCTAATAAAATTAGATATTTAAAATGAATTTTATAGTCCACAAAACAAGAAAAAATTCATTTATATTTGCAAATGAAACAAATTCCATATTGATTTGTTCCAAACAAACTGTGCAAATGTAATTTCTACTATTTAGTCTTTAAAGTGCTTCAAAGCTCAAATCAAACATTCAAATTTAAATTTTTCCTAAGTTACACATAACCTTGCATTGTCAAATCAAATTAAAGCTTCACCAAACACATGATTGTTATACATTCATTTGTTCAATTGGAATTCAGAAAAGCATAATACAAGCAAAACCCAAAAAATTGATCAAATTAAATACAATAAAGTAATTACAATAAATTAAGAAACACAAATAGATAATTAAAAAAAAAATCATAAATGATTTAAAACTAAAACAGAAAAAAAAGTAAAGAAATGAAGTACCTGGTAGTCCCATTATCAGGGTTATGACTAATCACAATAGCATAATCACCAGAACATCTAGCAAACACACCCCTATCACCTACATGATGCTCCACATTACATACAACAGCTCCTTCTGGAATAGATCTCAATGGCAAAACATTTCCCACCATCAAATTAGCCTTCTTTCCACAGTACACAAACTGACCAGTATACATTCCTTCAGCAGCAACGAAGAGCTCCTTCTGGTGCTTGTAGCGAAATGGATGGCGAAAAGTGACCCTAGCTAGTGGCGCGCCGCGACCAGGATCGTGAATAATCTCAGTAATGACTCCCTTTAGGTAACCATTTCGCTCTCCAAAATCGAGAGAGCGGAATCGAGCAGGGCCTTTACGGTGGTGGGTGTGGGACTTGAAGACGGAGCCTGCTCCCTTACGCTGTGCACGGATTACACGTCCCATCTTGGCCTTTAGGGTTTGGAAGCGATGCGGCAGCAGAGAAGTTGGATTTTCTGGTTGCAGGCACTTTATAGCGAGGGTTTCTGGAGGAGCAGAGTTAAGAGAAGAAGCATATTTGTGTGTGAAATTACGTCTTAGACCTTAGCTTGATGCCGTGAAATGAAAACCCTAAAAATATTTTCTTTGGACTGGGCCGGATTATGATGGCTGAGCCTGTTCACATCTTTCGGCCCTTTTATTTATTCTTCAAATCCTTTACAGCCTGTTTGGATGTGAGTTTAACATTATCAAAACGGGCTATCCGTTCTAGCCCGCACGACGTCGATCCTGGAACAGGCCGAATCAAAAAAGCTTCTTAAAAAATAAACTTTTAATATTTAAACCAGCATGCGCCGGCCCGGACATGTCTGTTTTGAGGGTCCATCTTTTTCTTCTTTTTTTTTTTTTCCTTAAACTTTACTACTTTTTTGAATTTCTATTGACATTCTATGTTCATTCAAAGAGCATTAACGTGGAAAAAAAAAAAAAAAAAAAAACATTAACGGTGGAAAAAAAAAAAAAAAAAAAAAGGAAAAAAAAAAAAAAAAAAAAAAGGAAACAAGCTCTTTCAGTTAATCTATGTAAATTTTGAATTATATTTTCCTTTTTAAATTTTATGAGGTATACATATAATATTATTCTAAAGTGCACCATCGTTGAACCGCCCGATCAAGGCTCGCGCGGGCTTTGATAAAAAAGAGTCAAATAAAAAAAGTCATTTTAAAAATAGATCTAAATTTTTTTATCCATATCCGAATAAATTGCAGATTATCACGAGCTATCGGCGGACTTATGCCCATTTTAACATTACTAAATGGAGTGATTATTTGGGAGGAAAGAAAATGAAAGTTAAAATTTGAAAGGAAAATAAGAATCCTTTGTTTGGAAACACGATGGAAAAGTAAAGGAAGAAAAATAATGGTTATTTTCCCTAGGGCCCCACCAACTTACTTTCTCTCCATTTTGGTGAGAAAATCTGACATTCATAGTATAGAAAAATTATTGTATATACAAGCTAATAAATCACCCGCACTTTGTTGCAGGTTTCCTATTGAATTTCTTTTTTATTTAAAATTAATTTTGTGGATTGATATGATTACTGTTTATGAATATTATAAAAATTACTAAATTTATACAAAAGATTTATTTTTATCATTTCTATACTTTTAGATTTTTGGGTTTTTTCTTTCAAAGGAAAATTGTTTTGGTATTTTAAGCTATCAAGCAATTTTAAAAAAAAAAATAATTTAAAACTACTTATCACAATTTTTTTAATAGTGAGTTTTTTTTAAAATAAAAATATTTTCTCTCAATTCTAAAAGACAAAACTTGAAAAAAATATAAAAAAATTAATAACTCATTTAATGTTTAAGATTTATTTATTTGTCATTTTGTTAAATAATTATTAATTAAAATATATTTAGTGGCTGTCCAGAAAATGTAGTGATTGACTGAGTTTAAGCTTGAATGATGAGCTCGTCAACGTCTGATAATGATTTTATCTTCTTTTCTTTCATTTTTTTTATATAACACATGATGCCTGCATATCTTGCAATGTTAATGGTTTTGTTTATTATTCATTAATTCATTATAATTAATGCTTAATATAGGGTAAAAATATAAATTTACAATAATACCATTTTCTTTTCTCAAAAAAAGAAAAATGTTATTTTCCTTCCTCCCATTTATTTTCCTTCTAATCCAAACATAGAGTAGAGAATAAGGAAGAAAAATGAATAGTGCAGTCATTCCTCATTTCTCTCTTTCCTAAACAAAGCATGAGGGCTAAGTGCATAATCTCATCCTGAACTTTTCTTACCTTTTTTCTTTCTGATTAAGTAGGAAGGCTATGGACCCATGCAACTCCAATCATATCAGCTTCAAAGAAACCTTTCACGGTTGGAGGAGGATCCAATAAAACATGATTCCTATGATGCATCTTTAAAGTTTCATTAGAAAGCAAATTAGCAAGTGCATTGGCTTCTCGATAGATCTCATACACTGAAACCTCCTAATCTCTACTCAGAAATTCATGACAGCCTATTGGGTGGGTTTCTCTTAATACTGACAGCTACTCCAAAGGGAGTTCTGATAATGCAGGGTTATGGCGGAGTTGTTTATAAATTTTGATGGAAGATGGATTCAAGAAGCTAAGCTTTGGGAGCTATACCAAGGCTTATCGTTGGTGTGGAAATTTGGCTTTCAAAGGATTATTTTGCAAATTGATTCCTGAACTTCTTTACTTTAATCGTTCGGGACTCTGAACTTTGAATGAAATATATCATGTACTCCTATCTATATTTTTTATAATTATTATGCCCCTTACAACTCTATAAATCCAGAGTGTGCCTTCAACGGTTGCTTAAAGCTCAATAACATAATATTTATGTGAAGTGGCTTAAATAATATCATAAATAATAGCAAGATATTAGAGTTCTTTTGCGCTCTCCTCCATTTTATTCTTTCAGTTCTTGCTTCTCTATCTTCTCTGCTCTTCTTCTTTTTCTTCTTCATCAATCATGGTCACCTCTACACAAAAATGGCATTAACAGTAAAACAAATTCTCATCTCTTACTATTCTCATATAGTCAAAGTTTATTTCTTTCTTTTGCCTCTTAAATCTCTCATAATTACCTTAAATTTGGACAAATTGCCTGTTTTAATTATGCATGCAATTTGTACCATGAAATTTAGGGTTGTGCGATTCTAGTTCTAGTTTAGTTCTTGATAAGAACCGGAATTAGAACCATAATTTAGTTCTTCTCAAATTTTGAATCAAAATCGTAACCGAATGACGTAGGAATCAAAACCATAATCAAACCATTGATTCATTTAGTTTTGACTTGGTTCTTCTATTTTTCACTTCTGATTCTAGTTCAGTTCTTCCGTAAAAGGTTATTTAAATTAAAATAATTTTAATATTAAACTAAAATTATAATATATGATAATTGCAAACAATCATCTATAAGATAATAATAATAATAATTATGATTAATTGGAAACAATTCATCTATAAATAATATTAATAATAAAATAATTAATAATATAAATAATTAAATTATAAGCTGCAAAACAATCATATAATAAATTATAAGATATTGATATGCAAACTAAAAATAAATATTTACTAATCAATCCTTATGATAATAATAATTAATAATAATTATAATATATATAATTATAATTTAGCTTGCAAAACAATCATAATAATTATAAGATTGGATATAATAATAATAATAATAATAATATATAATAATTATAATTATAGCTGCAAACAATCATATAATAATTATAAGATATGATAATTGCAAACTAAAAATAAATATTTACTAACTTAAAAACTTATATTTTATAAAAATATTTACTAATTATTTATACATTTTTGTATTTAAAAATAATTTCACAAATATATAAATAAACTTAAGTATATTTAAAATAAATATATACTTGTAATAAATCTAAAGAATGATACTTTATTTATTTAAAAATGAACCAAAAAATCTAGTCTGATTATAGAGTTCTACTTAATGTTTTTTTTTTAATTATATTATAGTTTTTCGGGTTTTTAATAAAATAAAATAATAATAAATTATGAGAAAAACGTGTTTGTGTAAAGAGAGAAGGATTAAATAAATTAATTTGTAGCTTTCATTGAAAAGAAGAGAGAGCAAAGAGGAAAGAAGGAATCTGAAATAACAAGAAATAGTTTGTTTCTTTAAGAACAACTAAAATGAAGAATTTTGATAAGAAAAATAAAAAAATAATAAAGAGAGGATTCATTGCTGACTTGGAGGCCATGTGTCAAAAACTATCATCCAGCATATGCTCCAATTGCCACATCACTATGCGTCTATTATGCTTTGATAAAGGAAACAATAGTTACAAAAAAAACAAAAAAAAAAAAAAATACAAGTTAAAGTACATGATATGTTTTCTTACAAAGTTGAGATTCCCAAATGATTAAAAAAAGAAAGTTCAAGAGTAAAATTATGTAGTCTTTAAATAAACAAATTATGCATTTTACTCTATAATCTATTACTCTATGATCTATAATCTATATTTTATAATACACACAAAAAACATGGACACACCTTGATAAAATAATTCATAACATAAAATCTAATTTCAAATATTAATTTAATAATATTTAAGAAGTTTTAACAATATTTTAATTTGCAGTCGATATAAACTATGTTTAATCACTATATTTAATTAGAAATTTCAAGAAAATTAATCTTTAATGTCATCTTAAAATGAAAATAAGTTTAGACAACAAGATGCTATATTCATGAGCCGTAAAATAAATTATGTTTTCTCAAGCAATTTTATTTTTTATCAAACAGTTACTATTTAAATAGAAATATTCTTATTATTTTAGTTAAGAGATTTCAATTATTATAAAATTTCTCAATTAGAAATAAAGCTACTTCTCAACATAAAAAAATTCTCTATGTTGGAAATTTTCTAATATTCACTATCAAAATTAAATCATACTGAAAGTAGTCTTACTATTATTTACTATTCATCACAAAAGTTTTCTTTTTTTTTTTTTTTTAACTTTTAAAGTTTTTCATAGTATATGATTTGATTCTTCATGTTAATTTTTTTTTAAATTTTTTTCAGAAAAATATAATAATGCAAAATAAGATCCTGTCATCTAAGCATCATCAACCAATTTGCCTGCCTCTCGTCCTTTTTAAAGGAATCAGTTGCTGCAATGACTTTATAATCAATCCCAAGCCAAGAGGGGTTAAATTCACAAGGGAGGAACTAGCAGTAAAGAGAGTTAAGAATTTGAAGTTCTTAAAGACAACTCTTTCCATCTTGTCTCCCCCTCATCGATTGTAAAATCGAGGATCCATTGGGCGTAAACCTAAGTTGGTTTAATTGGCTTCTGGACTTCACTAGCTCTAGGAAATAGGCTTAGAGCCATACTTAGAGCATTGTAATTAGGCCTTATAGAGAACCATACAAATCTTATATCCATCAAGAAGAAAATTGGATATGCTCTTGCACGAAGTTGCTAGCAAGACAGCTTAGACTTAGGGCTAGCCTTTAACCTCTCAAGCAAGAGCGACCATAACCTTCATATGAGACTT